ATTTTTTTAATATAAAAATTGTTTAAAATAATATATAAAATAGAATATTTAGAGAATATTTGAAAATAGAGTTGTAAGTTAGAGTTAAATTACTGTAGTAACTGCATTTTTAGAGTTATAATTGTATAAATGAAGTTGTCCGGTTGGAGATGGCCTTAGAGATTTCTCCTATCTCCTCTACGCCAAGGCAGGTAAACAGAAATTTAAAAAAAGTACTCCCTCCGTCCCATATACCGTGTCTGCTACACTGTAGACACGATATTTTAGGAGGGGTGTAATTAGTAGATAATTAAGAATGTATTAGTGAAAATAATTATTTTATCATATAAATAATTATAAATTAAGATTAAGATAATTAATTAGTTTAATTAAAATTAAAAAAATAAATTAAAAAGTTTAACAATGAGATTAAAGTGTGTAATTATTTTCCAAAAAAGAAAGTGACATGAAATGTGGGATGGACAGAAACCACAACATGGATATGGTATATTGGACGAAGGGATAAATAATTTTGTATATTATATAAAATTTTATTTTCTATGCAATGATATATATATTTTTAAAAACTATAATTTTAAAAAAATAATAATTTTCATATAAATATAAATAAATATATTTTATTGAATTGAAAGAAAGATAGTATAAAATAAAGATGAGGAGATATAATAATTTGCATATAGCCAAATGAGTTTGTTGACTCAACTAATTTTTTTGGTGGCATAATTTTCTATAAATATTATTTAAAAATATAATAATATTAATATAATATATATATATAAGACTACTTATACTTTTATATAAATTACAAAAATTTTATTACTTTATTTGTACTTTTTAAGGATAAAAATATCAAATTATTTTATACATTTTTATTAATCAATAAAATTATCGTAAGAGATGGTATGTTAATGTGAAAATGATTACGTGATCATGAAGTCATGAGTTATCACGTTATCAAAAACCAAATAAAATACTCTTATTATTATTCCCTCCGTCCCAGATACCGTGTCAGCTACACTGTAGACACGGTATTTTAGGAGGGGTGTAATTAGTAGATAATTAAAAATGTATTAGTGAAAATAATTATCCTATAATATAAATAATTATAAATTAAGATTAAAATAACTAATTAGTTTAATTAAAATTAAAAAAATAATATTAAAAAATTTAAAATGAGATTAAAGTGTGTAATCATTTTTCATAAAAGGAAAGTGACATGGCATATGGGACGGACAGAAACGGCAACATGGACATGGTATTTGGGACGGAAAGAGTATTTTTTTAGCTCATTACAAAATAATAAATGACACTTTTAAAATATCAATAATTCAATATAAAATATTATTTTTAATATTATTTACACGATTTTCTAAAAATACATTTATAATTTTTTATTTTTCTTAAAAAACCAAATCTAATACTCCCTCCGTCCAGCTAGAAAGTATACATGTTTCTATTTTGGGGCGTGCAATTACAAAGTAATTATTTCATTAAATACCCCATTTTTTTCATAAATACCCCTACTTTACATCACATCGTTACTTTTATACAAAAAAAAAGGTAAGGGCAAAAATATCATTTTACTACTTTTACCTACCCACTATAATTAAAATACTATTATTCCTTAATCTCCGTGCAAAAAATAAATGTATACTTATTTTGTGGACGGAGAGAGTATATTCTAGAGGCGTGAAGTGTTGGAGGGTACTAGAGACAAGTGGGATTCTAATTTCAAATCAACAAATTAATTAAAGAAACTGAAATAATAAAATGAAAGCGCTATTTAATTTGGTATATATATATATAAGAATCGCATTTCCAGCCAATCAATAGTCGCGTTTTTCTAATCCCATTCCTCAATCAGTCACTAAAATCAACTCATCATGCACCCACCACCTTTCTGCATGCAGCTAGCAGCCAACCAAAAAAAATATATATATATATATATACATATATGTGACAAAAATGTTGGTGAGGTTGTAAATATGGCAGAGGAATAAAGTAAAGAATATTTAATTAAAAAGTATATCATTATTATTAGTATATATATTATTGCAGAAATTAATTACATAATTAGATGAATTATAATATTGATATCTATGGAAGATTTAAGAAACTTATATATCTTCTCGATCGAAATTCATATTTCATTTCTCCAAATGCAAAAGATCATATTCACATTCATATTCACATTCACATTCACATTCACATTCATATACATAATGAGATGTCAATCAATTGGGGGAATAAACCATAATTTTAATTTAATTACCTTTTGGGGGATTCTAATTCATGTCTCTTTTAGATATATTATTTATTTTTATTGGTAGATAATATATATATATACTCCATTCATCCCAATACAATAGTCATGTTTACCATTTGTGTCTCATTTCTATAAATAATCATATCACTATAAAATTACCATTACTTTTTCATTATTATTACACAATTGTCTATACTTTTTACATTAATACACTCACAAGGCAAAAAATTTTTTTTACATGTACGTTTTATCCACTACTAATATAATATTAATATTTTTAAAATTTCGTGTCAAACACAACCCAAATTATAGTTTTGAGACAGATGGAGTATATAATTATAATTATAATGATGTGTTGTCATGGGGGGGTGTGTGTTTGTTTGGAAGATTGGATTTAAATTCAACGATTCATCCAATTTTTTCCCCCCAAAAATATCAAATCAAACACATATTTTTTATATTATATTAAAAATCAATTTTATATTCAAAACATCGCATCAACACCTATTTATATCACATCATACAACTATTTAAATTTAAAATTTTTACTATATCCAAAATCCAAATCCCCGAACAAACACACCCGAAATATATTCTCAATCCACCAAAGCCACATCAACTAATTAATTAATTAAATCCATGAAGCACAAATTAATAGTAGTTCCCACTACTTAATTAAGAAAGAAGCTTTAATTCACCAATTATAATATATATAGGAATATTTCACTAGGATATAGTTAACTACTACTATAATCTTATAGTTATTTAATTATTAATTTAATGAAATGATGTATCCCTAATTGATAATATTTAATTTGATGTGCATTTTTGGATTGATTTGATGTTTTAATTAAACCTGCATTATGCTTTTTTTCCCCCCAAACAGCAAATCCCATTATACCTTATCAATGACACACAACATATTATGTACTCTATTTGAAAGGGACTTTGCTGGTTTGGATTATATTAAGAAATAATACTTCTCGTGCAATATTGTCGTTTATTCTTTGCACGTAAATTTTTTATTAGTAGTATTATAATGGATTGCAGTGAAAAAGACAGAAATATTTTATCTATTAGTATTGTATAATATAAAAGTAATTATATTTGTGTAATATAGTGTAAGTTGAAATGATATGTAATATTATGTTAAGCAGGTAGTATAATTACTAAATTAGGAAAGGGTAACCTTGTTTTGGGACGGGCGAAAATGGAATATGATAACTTTTCAATGGGACAGATGGAGTATTTTAATAGTATTGGAAGTGTGTAAGAAGTTTCGACAATTTTGTCATTTGACTTTATTAAGTAATTGTATGTGTAATGGTATATTTGTAATTTAAATTAAATTTATTGGTAATTTGGTATTACTATATTATTGCTTTTACTAAAAATGAAAAGTGATACTTTTGAGTAAACAATAGAAAAAATACTTTGAATTGAAACGAGAAAAATATATATATATATATATGGCTACAGTTATTTTGTTGTATTAATTCACTAAAGATAATGATATGGTAACATAACACAAATTAATTAATATAATACAGATACAATATATAAAAGTTTATACAATACATAATACTAGCTTCTGATCTCATCACGTGATATATGTTTATATTAACGGTTCATTTTTCATGCTGCTCGAGTAGCAAAATGGATAGCAGATATTTAATAGGAGATGATAATATAATATGCAACATATATATATATATATTCTGACAGTGTTTACTTGTCAGATTTTACACCTGATTTTACTATTCCATTTTTTTATTTTTTAAAAACATTAAATCAAACACTCAATTTTTATTTATTTTATTATACTAAAATTCAATTTTACATTCAAAACATCACATCAACATATATTTATATCACATCAAACAATTATTTCAATTCAAAATTTTACTATTCAAAATCAAAACTCAAAACTAAAATCTTACAGGTAAACACACCAACTATAATTTTATATAACAAATATATTATTTATTTCAGCAGAATAAATATATACACAACACATTATGAGAGAGGGAATATTAACCCCAAAAGTAAAAGAACTAATTAATCTTACATCCTTTTTATTCATGTAGAATCTACCGTACATAACACACTAATTATTCATTTAAGCATCATATATATATATATATATATACTACACATCAAATAAAATTATATATATATATGATTATGGTTTCGTTTAGACAAGATATTTGTGTGAGTTTTGAAGATTCTAAAAAAATTTAAAAAAATATATATATTTAATTTGATATTTAAAAAAATAAATTAAAATAGCATTAAAATTTCAAAAGTATTGTATAAACAAAACCTACTTATATAAGAGTAGCAATTAATTAGTTAAATTGATGATATATATATCACTACAAAAAAAAATAATATATTTGTAACGGAATTCCGTCCCTAAAGTTCATGTAGCTAACGTAATTCTATTACTAATTCCGTCTCTAACGTCATTAGTAACAAAAAAAAAAAAAAGTAAATTTAGAGATTTTGTTACAAAAATGATTTTTTCTTGTAGTATATATATATATATATATATGAGATTATATATTAATTGAGATCGATCGAATTGGTAAGCAGGAGAGAGAGACACGTATTGGTTTTATATATATATATATATATATATAATTTGCATCTCAATAATTGTTTCTTTTTTCACTGTTTAAAGATTCAAAGAATTCATGCACCTCTTTCTCTCTCTCTCTCTCTATATCTCTCTCTCTATATCTATATATACTCCAGACATACACCTCTCTACCAAAGATCAAATTAGCTCTTAATTTTGCTTTCTACATTCTTTGATCTTCACGAAAAAAATCAAGAAAATGCAGAGGCAACTAGCAACAATGAAGCAGTCATTTTTTAATCAGGTACACACACAGTAACGGATCTACATTGGGGCTTGGGGTCAACTGACCCTCCAAGCCCTCTCCAAATTTTTTTTAAGTATAATTTTTTTAATTTTTTATTTAATAATTAAATTTGCCCCTTCAATTTGGGATTAATACTCTACATAAACTTCCATATTATTATTATTTTAATTTTTAATAATATATAATATTTTTATTTATAAATATATTATATAAAAAATAAAATATTTTATCTTAAATATTGTTTTCGTTCATTTTTTTTCCTCTTTACAACCACATTATAGTGTTAATAAAAATTGAAAAAATTAAGATGACATCAAGTTAGTATAAATGAATTGACGAGAAAATCTTTATATTATTTTTTGTACACAGAAACAACCGTTCAAATAAAAAATAGGCTTGAAATAAGTTGAAACTAAAAGTAAACGGTAAAAAAATGAACAAATAAACATAACAATTTTACCCACGAAGCTGCAAAGCTGGTTCCGACACTGGGTACATACATACGATCTTAATATTTGATTTTGTATTTTACAAAACATGGTAGCATCAAATATTATTTATATACAAAAACTCATATTAAATCTTTTCAATCCAAACTAAAAAATATATATATATATATATATATACTTAGTTTTTAAAAATAAATACATGAAATATTTTATTATGTCCTTATATATTTATATATATTATATTAGCCAAAGTATTGCTTGTTTTTGCACATAAAATCATGACAAAATGTGGTTATGACCATATTTTTATGCAATAAAATTCATAACCTCTTCATCTCAGTATATATTTGTAATAACTTCTAATTTGGGACTTGTAAAAATATTTGTAATTTTTCTTCATTTATACTAAAATTTTCATCTCTTATGCATTATAATTAAATACAATTTATAAAATTACTTCAAATAAAAAAATCAGAGTAATACCTAGCTAAAAAGTTGTCCAAATTAAAACTTAATTATAATTTTAATGATATAAAATATTTTAGATATGTATGCTAAATTGCATATATATATATATATATATAATTTACCAAATATTATATACATGCACATAGTACTTAGCAAGTAATTTAGAGCTTTCGATTTTGTATCCAGGACTGTTACACATTATAATGATTTGAGCTTGAATTCAAATATATATAATATTAATTTGAATAGGCTCAAAATTCATAATGTAATAAATAAATATTACATGCTCTCAAAATTTGTTTTATGTAATTAATTAATCAAATTAAATTAAGCAATGAGATACTGATCAACTTGATTCAAATAACAAATATAACATAGCATGCATCTATTTAATTTTCATGTACATATGCATACATAAATATAATGGTTTAATTATGATATATATATATATATATGTGTGTATGCATTATCTTAATTTCCAAACATAATTATATAATATGTCTACTTAGAATGAAATTAATAAATATAATTTTATGTGGCTAAATTAATTTATATTAGGGATATTTGGACGAGCAATTTGTTCAGCTGGAAGAGCTGCAGGATGATTCTAACCCTAATTTTGTCGAAGAAGTTGTCGCATCGTATTATCGCGAATCGGCCCGGTTCCTCGTCAGCATCGAACAAGCCTTGTGAGTTCTTCAATTAAATATATATATTTATATCAATGAAATTCAGTACTAAATAACACAATATATGCTAACAAACACAGAGATTAATTACTACATAAAAGCATATAGTTTATTTATATTAATATAATATAATATATAAATACAACATAAGAACCAAAAATACATAATATACTTTTATAGAATATACGATAATATCTATTCTTTTTTCAAAGAATATGTGTTATTTGTATATTTTATTTGTGTTAATTATCTGCACTCTTGATTAGTGCTAGTCAAGGAAATCATATATTATTATTATTATTATTGATGGACTGATTTTTATTAATTCTTTTTAGGGATAAAAACCCTCTTGATTATTGTAAATTGGATAGCTTCATGCACCATTTCACAAGCAGCACTTCAAGGTATATTCAACATTTTTACTCTTACTAAATATTACATCAAAAAAATTAAATTAATACATTTTATTATTTAAACTTTGCGATTTTCCAAAAAAAGAAATATATTTTTTCTTCTCGCAGAACATCCTATCAAATACTATTTTAATATCAAAACTAAACTAAAATTTTCTAAATTCAACCAAAAGAAACACACCCGTAATCTTAGTAATTATTGATTTTGAGTTAATTAACGTGTGCAGCATTGGAGCCAAAAGGGTGAAAGCTGAATGCACTCTATTCCGAGAGTATTGCAGAGCAAGAAATTGTGAAGGGTCTCTCTCTCTCTCTCTCTCTCTCTCTCTATATATATATATATATATATTCATAATATCTCAAACTACAAAAGCAATATAATGCAACCCTGAGGCTGAGGATATAGATTTATATATGTATATATATATATGGTACAGATGCAAGAGAAGTTTTCGACAGCTCAAGAAAGAATATTCCTCTCTCAAGAACAAGCTTGAAGCCTATTTTCAGGTTAATTTCATTCTCTCTCTCTCTCTCTCTCTCTATATATATATATATATATAGACATATGATGATGATTTTGATTATTTGCAATGAATGTAAATTTGCAGTATGTAAGACAAGTAGGGCCCGGAGAGAAGGCATGTCGCCCAAAATAAAATTAATTAATTAATTATACATGCAATTGTATTCTTGCACCTTTTATTATTATTATTGTTTTTGTGTTGTGATCGATGTGGTTGTTATCTTTGTTTCTCTAAATCAATGCAAGTAATGTAATTTGGAGGTTATACATGAAATTTTGTAACCATCACTCTACAAGTAATATATATATATATATATATGTGTGTGTGTGTGTTTTCAACCAAATTAAAATAAAGTGATAGCAGCAAATTAACAATGCAATAACCATTTTGAATTAATTTGTAATAGATAAAATCATTGGACAAAAAGTTAATTAAGGGTTAGACTTTTTAATTTTTTTATTTACATTTAAAAATTAATCTCTATCAATAGACCTGCTAAAGCCCCCTACATATTAATTGAAATGTATAACTGCTTAGGTATATATATATATATATATATGTATTTTTTCTTTTACTTAAATTATTTTATGTGTATATATATATGGCAGCTGCTGGATTTGCTGACATCACATTGTATTTCGAGAATCAATATATAATTTCGATTAATATAATACAAATACAACATACGATATAATTATATATAACATATTCTACCACTAATTAATTTTTGTACAAAAAATATATTTATATAATGCAACTATAAATATAAATGGTACAATACATAATTTTATACAGCACATTGTTATATAGAGGCTATGGATTCAAGTCAGTATATAATGTACTATATATAAATACATACTGGTCACCTACAATGACAGTTTTTAAATCAGGAAGGGCAAAATATTATAATTTATTTAATATTTAACTAATTAATTTAAATTAAAAAAAAATAACATATTACATATAAATTTGGATTGTTTGGGGGAAGGGGAGAGGAAATATATAAAAATTAATATTTTTAACACTAAAAAAGTCATAAAAAAAAAAATTGGATTTGGATGGCAATTACTCCCAAGTTCTAGTGTAGTTTCATCATATGCTATGCTGATCCGACTAAGTCAACATAATATACTATGTTAAGAAATAACTCTACGTGACTTTCAATTATAGCGAATTAAAATTAACAATAAATTAGTGTTGGTAGCTTGTTGTGTATGCATAATATACATATCTTGCAAACTTTACCAGAAGGAAAGTAGAACATGTACTAAACAAAATTAGTTTTTTTTTAAATAAAATAAAATAAAATAAAAAATCCTCCAAGAATATATATATATATATATATATATATAACAATGAAACATATATACATATAGAGATACTTACATTGTGTCAAAAGCTTCATCCTAAGCTTCAGATACTTTGACATTGTCACTGCCAGAAGCCATTTGAGAAGATGGATCTTGTGGATCTTCACCATCAGATGGCTGAGATTCATGTTTTGCAGCTGCCTGCAACACCCTGCTTTGGACATCCAACGACGATGGAGACATCGGCAATCCATTAATGTTCGTTTCTAACTTCCCGGCTACCCACGAAATCGCCTCGCCTCCAAGTTTTACCGGAGATAGCAGCAGCCTGAGGAACGCAAGGGCGATTTTGCAAACAGCTATTAATAATCTTCGATTATCAAGCTACATTACATGAATTTTCCAATCTAGTATTGTATAAGAACGCGAAAGATTTTGAAGTTGAGATGGATTTGTGAACATTTATTTCTGTATATATGTACCTCACATCCTGCGTAAAGTCGCCTGAATCTTGGTAAGAAGCAACTCGCCGGAACACAGTCTGGTAATAATCGAAAATGAGATATGTGAAATTAAATTGGAGTGTAAGGAGAACATCGATGAAGTCACTTGAAAGGTATCGATTTTTTAAAACATAGTTAAGAGGCTAAATCTCACCTGTCCAATGCCGATAATGCCAATGAATTGCAGAGTTCTTTCCCATTCTGCAGAAATGAAGAATAAATGGTTTCAATAATCTTTCACATTCAAAGCTTGACAATATTGAGAACCACGACAATACTTGCCGTGATTTCTTGCATTGCTAACACACTCGAATTTCATAGTTTGTATGGTTATATTGATTAGTCAAGGGTTGTTCTAAAAGATTTCCGCAAACAAACAACTGTTATTCTTGTGGCTGATATATGCAAAAGATTAAATAAAATAAAATTCGGTATATACCTATCGCCGAATAAGCTGCAACAGCTACAACCTGTCCATTGCAAACACATGAAATAGCTTATTTCTTCCCATAAATTTGAGATGATATATTGACAATGCCATTCCAGGCAGATGCCGGCAGCTTTTGCTATCAATAAACCAGAGTTTCGGAATAGATTTTCTTGAAAATAGATACCAAACTCCGTAGATAACAAAAAAAAGATATACTCACAATTTGGTACTACTCTACCATATGAAATATCTTGATTCAAATTTTTGTTTTTACTTTTTTTCGATCTTCAATCACTGTCTTGAAGTGGAGTATGCGCAAAAAGTTCCCGGTTTAAAAAAAACCGATGTAGTAGAATAGAGACTTACCAGTCCAAACCCAAGAAGTTTCAATGGTGTTGGATTAATTTCCTCCAAGATTGCTTCAGCTTCCTATAAATAAGATCGAAGATTCACGTTAGTGGATTATAATTTCCCCTCAAAAAAGTTTGTAACAGTTCGGAGAACTCCATCACTCAATGCTCTGTGAGTTAAAAATATCTTACTTTATTTTCACCAAGCCTTACTAGTAAAGAAATTCTGATGAAAGTTACCTCATTGAGTACTGTAAACGCTGTCTCAGGCTTTAATGCTTTAACACGAATGCCTTCATTCACCCAAGAACGAAAGCCGCCTTGGACTAGATACGGTCTCTATCATATAGAAAAGCACACACATCGTCAAATAAATTACGAAGTATACAAATATAGGACTGAAAAAATACTAAACATGATTACGGATATATCTATGTTGGATGAGGTAATTTGTTTAAGTAAAATATAATATGATTACGGATCTATCTATGCTGGCTCAAGTAGAATCATTTTACGAAGGTTCTAGGACGATAATCTGTTGGGGTGACGAAAAGGATTAAGGGAAATGAGTAACTTTTAAAAAAGACAGATTAATAAGTTGCATGTTTTAATTTGTTGTCGGTATAAAGTATGATTCAATCAGTTTATCTCAATCTTACTTGCCTTTATTCCAAGCTTGCTCAGTGTCCTTGCAACGCCCTTCGAACGAGATCCATCGGCATCCATAACTACAACCTTGCTCCTCTTCTATAGACATGAAATTGATTCGAATTATCAAAACTTATCATTGAAAGCTTTATGCAATTAAAATATTGAATCGCCACAAAAGAGAGTTTTTCCATAGCACAAAAAACCACTTCCAAACAAATCACAAACTTCGGTCTGTTAATTTAGGTAGCAATTTCAGTTGAGTTATTTGCAGACAAATATATCAGTTGAGTTATGTGCAAGTTAAGAAGGGCAAGGAATTGTTTTCGTACTTCGACAATTTTAAGGTTGCGAATAACAATAGCAAGCAAAGAGTCCTCAATGTCTCTCCCCCCTTTCAGCAGCCTTTTAACAGATCCATCAATCTGTAAATTCATGTGCCATGAGAAAAAGATATTAAAATTTTTCTAACATTTACAATGGATTCTTATCTTCAAGCTAAAATTTTAAAAGAGATTACAGACCTCGGGGAGTGTTACACTGGCATATCGAGAGCGAGCTGCCCTTCGAAGGTCAGGAATGCCATCTTTTTCCCTGAGATTCTTTACACACACAGATGCAGCCATGAAAAGTTAGTAAAGCTATTTTAACAAAAAATGAGCTCAGTCAAAGGACAACATCAACATAAAGATTGTCGCATCAATACAAGTAAAAATGTATAAGATCAATCGATATCAGTAATGTTTATATGGTAAATCAAGAGTAACATAAGGTACAACATCTTGCCTCAGGCCGTATGTCGATGAGTGCAACTTTCTCTTTTCCACGTAGCAGCTCAAAAGTTAACTTCGGTGATAAGTCTCCGGCATATCCACTGTATCTTAACACCCTATAAGAACCCCTGCACAAATCTGATGAGAAATGTAACTACATTTATCAAAATAGGGGAGAATAGCGAAGGCCAATATTAATGTTCACAATGTAAGTTGAAAAGTGAAAAATCACTTCGAAAAAATGCTGTCGCTCAGGAAACTTATACCACAAAGTAGCTGTCGCTCCAACGAAAAGGGCAAGTGGAATAAGTGGATCATTAGGGTCCAAACCAAGGCTTTTCTCGAAACCTTCCACCACCACGTAAACCTTTGGGAAACAATGTAGAGTTAAATAACTAAAACCCGTCTTCTGAAGAAACCGATAATATCAATATAATGACCAATTCTATGTTGGAGCGACAAATAAATAGTCTCCGGAAGCTCAAACATTTTCTACTCAGTATGTAAATTAGGGTGTGTATGTTTCAAAGATTTTGAGGAATTTCCGCTATTCATACAAATTTGTTTCCCCAAAAATATCAAATCAAACATTTACTTTTTTTTATTTTTTATACTATACTAAACATCAATCTTACATTCAAAACATTTCATCTATACTTATTTATATTACATCATATAACTATTCCAATTCAAATTTTTTACTATTCAAATTCCAACTCAAAATCCAAACCCTCAAACAAACACACCTTAAAAATGCATCATTGAACATGATTCACCCATTTTTTCATCCTTTCGAACTAAAAAATCACAGGTACCTGTTGAAGAGCTGCCCCAGCAGGATTCAGTACTCTCAGAATACTTTCTTCGGATAATTTAAGAGCGTCACGGAAATCAGGGGGCAAAAACTCTTTAGCTGAACCATAAGCATATCCAACAGTTTTCGCCCCCTCTATCAGAGAGTTCTCAATGACAACTGTCGTGTTTCTTAACACATCAAGTGCTGCACTTCCTGCTTTTCCAGATACATCCTTCGCCCCGCCAGCTAATCCAGTGAGCTTATTATTAGCTGATTCACCGGACTTATTAGCAAAGGAGACGACATCATTTATGATGCTATCAACTGCTTCTTTAGCATCTGTAAAAGTAGTTGTGACTGACGAGGTGACGGTATCAACAAAGTTGTTCAGAAAATCCTCGCCTCCCTTAATTGTTTCGGTAACAGACTGATTCACTTTGGACACAACATCAGCAACGGTTACTTCCTGACCAGAAGATGAATTAACATCAATGTTTGACGACACTGGAGGAGAATCAACTTGTACACTCTCGACAGTTTCCATTGTATCACTCACAAAGCCCAATAGCTGATCATCTCCCGCCGAATTGCTTGAGCTATCTATATACATGATTGGTCCTAAATGTTTCAGGTTTCCTAAACCATTTGGATATGTCAACTGATTGATTGTGTCCATCGAACCATCGACATAGTTAGTGTACAAAGATGAAGCAGGTTGCGTCTTAATCGAAACTTGATCGATATGGGACCGGTTCAAGATATTTAAAACTGATTTCTCAGCATTATTACTGCTGAAATCAGATAAGTTCAAGTTATGAGATACAGATTTCAATCCTCCATTGATAGGAACCTGCAAAATAGTTTTTTCACTAAGCTATATCGACAATTTGGGATAATTTTCGATTTGTCTAAATAATGAAATCATAGGCCAGATACATAATAGATTCAACTTATAACAAAGATATCAAATCCAACATTCCCAAATTCAGTAATCCATTAATAAACGAAGAAATTCAAAATTGTGATACTGCACTGACCTTTGCATAACAAGAGCAGGTGGCGGTTGCTGAGCAAACGGACAACATTTTCGATCAAAACGGTTAAAATTCAAGCACTCCTAACCCTCGTTTTTCAATTCATTACACGTTTCTGCGTAAAATAAGCGCATAAACGTCGGAGCATTGGTAGAAACCAAGGTATATGAACACAGCCACAATCGGTAGGTAAAATAAAAGTCGCCAATCAAATTCTTGAGACGGGTTTCAACATGTTGTGACTGAATAAAGTTTGGGGGGTTTTATATATGGAGAAAATCAAAGAAATAGGCGTCAAATCAAAGGGAGGGGATTGAGAAGAAACGTGTGGCTGATTTGATGAGAGCTTCAGCAGACGATATCTGATTAGCCATTAACTGCCTCTCGTTTCCTCTTCTGGGGATATATATACATATACATACACGCACTGTGGACCTGTTTATCAAAATTATATTTATTTTTTCGTTTGTTTATACAAAAATTAATAAGAACTATCCACCTTAAGTATTCATATCATAATTATTTTAAAAAAATACTCAATATTTTAATATAAATACAAAATATGTAAAGACTAAATAGACATATTAAATGAAATTTATTAAAAAAATCAATAATAATAATAATAATAATAAATTAATTCTAATTTCTTAAAATAAAATTATACTAGTAGATAAAAATTACTTTTATGAAATGAATCATGTGTAAATTTAATGGACTGTTTAAATAGTTTTAAAAAGTAAGTTAAAGTATAACTAAAGATAATTTAAAAAAATATGAATAATTTTATTATAAAGTGAGACTATCATTACTAAATAATAAGAAAGGACAACTCTATTGAGACGGTGAGTATTAGTTATTGTTTATTTAGGGTGTGTTTGTTTGAAGAATTTTGGTAGATTTCTACTATTCATTCAATTTTTTTCCCCCCAAAAACATCAAATCAAACACCTATTTTTCATTTTTTATATTATACTAAAAATTAATTTTACATTCAAAACATCACATCAAACCCTATTTATATCACATCATACAACTATTCAAATTCAAAATTTTTACTATTCAAATCCCAACTCAAAATCCAAACCCCCAAATAATAACACCCTTAGTGTTTCTTCCCGAATAAATTGTCAACTATAGATACTCTAAAAGTAAATAGGGTATAATAAAAATAATTATAAATTTAAATAACTAAATAATTTAATCAAAAAATTATAAATTATAAATTATAAAATTTAAAATAAAATTAAAATGTAAATTATACTTTCGAATAAAAAATAACAAATTATATAAAAATTGCGAAAATAAAAATATAGAGAATTTATGTTGGACGGAGGGAGTATATTCATAGACACTAAAATATCAAGACAAGGATATTATTTCAAGGTCTGGACATCATCTTCCACCAACATATTAACATTAAAATTAAAATTTACAAAAATTCTGCACAAAGTTAGTGTGAAGATGGACTTTCAAGGCACAGGACAATGGCTCCATATATAACTTATGATGGGCAAATGATTCTTTGGAATTGAAACATTTATGCAATTGAATCCCTGAAATTGAGCAAAGAAGAAACATTAATACATGATATGATCATCTTTAATTCCAATATCTTGAAATGATGAGTTCTGTGGAACTGTACCAAGCTCGTCGGCATTTACAGGCCTCGCAACGAACACTTCGCCTAGGATCATCAAGTGCCCTCGATGCGGCGAGCAATACCTAAAATCACATGAAAATTTTATACGAATGCCGTACAAAACATTCGACATTCAGGGAGCATCGATTGTAAATTTATAATTAGATTATATGCATGAAAAAGATAGCTTGTATGGACATTTAGTCTTTGAGGGTGTGTTTGTTTGTGAGCTTGGGATTTTGGGCTTAGATTTTTTAATAATAAAAAGTTGAATTTGGATAGTTATATGATATAATATTTTTGGAAGGAAAAATGAATATGAGTAAAAATCTGTGGCAAAATCCACAAAAGAACACGAATGTTACGATATATTGGGAATCGGAATTAAAGATATTGTGCATTTCTAAAGAATATCCATACCTGTTTTTTCAAGGGGTAAATTCTGGAATGGGGAAGTTCGGACATAGCAACAAGGCACTGTAATGCTGTCTCTCGAACAGCCTGAACAAAGGATTAATTTGCTTAAATGAAATCGGGAATATTGAATCAAATAATAAAGGCATATCGATGCAAACACTTAAGCATAGTCCTAGAATGGATAAAAGTTCATTCAACGACCAATTTAACCATTTAAAACTAGCTTTGGCTTTTTCCTTTTTCTGTTCTTTTTTAATCATATTGCATGTATTAAAAGTCCTGTATGGTTCTTCCACATAATTGTAAAATTTAGATCCCCGAGATCATAAACCCAAAAGATATTTTTGAGTGTACTACAAGAGTGGCTATACATACCATCTTATGCGAATAGGTTGTTAGTTCAATAAGTTGGTTAGCAATACCAGGGGCATTTTCTACGGCAGCTTCACGTCCTGCAGCACGATTGGGATTAGAGCAGTACCAGAGAAAACAGTTTGGCCAAAATATTAACATCCTGACAGAATAACAGCCCCATGAATGTTTTTATTACTCTCAGAAAATTGATCCATCTATCATTGTTCCCATTATTTAATTGGAAACTAGATCCTAATTTATCAATCATCTCAGTTAAAATAATGTGATTGATTGTGTCAAGAAAGCACTAACTTCAGACATTCAACAGCTTCAATGCAAATTGCATGCCTTCCATAAATACGCAGTTTCTGTCCCTTGCTACACTAAACCTAAAGAAAACTGACAAAGAGACCCCATCTTATGTTGTCACTGCCAGCTAACTCACATTTAGTTGCTCCCCAAAAGACTAATAATGTGTTTGAAGTTCATACAGAACAAAATCGACCTAATCTTGTTCAAGAAAAAAAAGTATACTACCGGAGAAAATAAAGCTAGACTCATCTCTTACCAATTTTCTCCACCAATATAGCAGATACAATGAGTAAAATACTGTAGATGATCTCCTTCACCGATGCATCATCCTTCAGTTGCGACAAGCAACCAAGTAATGCAGGGACAAGCTGCAAGAAAAGAATGGATGTCAAAAGCATGCATCAAAGTATGCTTTACATGATACACTGTAGTCTTTATCTAACCTTTTTTGCTTCTCCAAGAATAGCAATCAGAGGTGTCTCAATCACAACATGTGCAAGGGCTCTATATAGCATAGATCTGAAAAATGGACAAAGAACTAATGACTCGAACATCCTTGATGTTCATAGAAATTTGTTGAACATAATCCACAGGCATGGTTTATACAGGGATGTTAATCATAAAATGTTGGAACATTATATAGGATGATTGAGACTTTGTGCACATAAGAATCACAACGAAATTAGTTTGACAAATTGAGATTCGATGTGATAGTTACCTAATCAATGATGATTTAGTGTTAACCACTAAAGATAACAAAATTGGTTTGATAGTGCAGAAGAAGTGTTGTTTGTAGAGCGGCTTCATATGGGCATGGTATGTTCGATTCAAACATTCTAGAGAGTCACTCATGATGACTCGAAATGCATCCCCTGCACACTGCATCAGCTGATGCACATCTTTCTCATCATAAACATTGATCTCATTCTCAAACTGTTTTGAGACCTCAGATTCATGATTGAACATCACAAAACCTAGCAAAGTCATTGTTATATCTTTTAGCCTTTCATGACCTCTCATAAGTAACCCTTTACCAATCCATGCTAGTCCAATAATATAGTTCGTCAATGAATGGACTGTTGCAGTCTTCAATCTTAAACAACTGAGATTAATCCCACTGTAATCATTACCCGGAGGAACACTGTTACAGGAAGTCCCTGAGTAAATATGAAAAATCATGTCCAATGCCTCATTCAGATCAAGAATTTCAGATGTATTCATTTCCATGGTTCCCGAGGGTAACTTGTTGACCAAAGAACCCAAAGCATGAGCTGAAGGTATATGGCCATCCAGGAGGCTTGTTATGAATATCTGTAGAATCATTTTTCCCTTCGGTATACTTGTTTGAGGGCGGAGAGCAATAACAACGGAAGCAAATAATGAAGTGACCCATTCACTTGTTACAAGAGGATTGCCGCTGGGGGTTTGGTGTGACGATTCCTCTTTTAGAATACAACAGCCAGAACTGGATCTCTTCAACCCAATACTAGAACCAGAAGAAATTACACCTAAAGCCTTTTTTATTATCATCTCCTGGCTTCTCTCTGAACAACTAGCAACAGCATTCTTCATTGCATTCATTGTAGCAACAAGAAGATCCTGATAACATCAACCCCTAGCATTAGAGAAATTAACTTCATCATAACTAATTGTATTGCAGAAAGGATGGAAATCAACAACTATTTGGCTGACGTACACTGCTGATTTTAAGTGGAGTGTGGGACATTGACATAACGTTTTCAATTTTGTCCCAGATGTTAAGAGCAAATTTCCGTGGAATTTCCTCCAAACCTCCAACCTCAATAAACCTGTGATCATGTCAACAAATACCATAATTGATCAGGTAAGAATAAAATCAGACCTCAATTTACAGTTAAATCAAGATAGTCAAACAAGCCAAACACTTGAGAAAAATGGCATGAGATTGCAATAACCAAACCGATATAATGAATTGTGTTCCAGCAAGCATAACTATATCTCATTTAATAATTTGGAAATTACTTGCGTCAAAATACTATAGGTTCTAATGGTTCTACAATGATTGCATTGAATGAGGCCCATAAATCAGTCGCAACACTAGGTGATTACCTAATAATGTCATTGATGCTATAAATAAATAAAATAAAATAAAGGGTTCTGTTTAGAATCATAACCTAAGTTCAAACTTGATGTGAACCAAAACATACTGCTTGAAGGCAAACAAAATCATAAACTCATAATAATAGCAACATTGTTTATAAGTGAAACAAAATAGATCAAATGTGTTGCAAAAAGAATCAATATACTTCAAAGCAAAGAAAGAATAACGATAGCAATCCCAATTCCACTTTTTTACAGATATACCACAAACTTAGTTGACTAGTGACAACCAAGGATATTGACATATAATTGATAGTGTAGCATAATTATAAAGAGGACTATTGTTAGTGCGTTCTGTGAACATTAATTTATATTGACCAGTCAAGCCAAATAAAGTATAATATTGTGGAAAGTAAGACCAGCTCACAAGGAGGTGAATTCTAATAGGTTTACCAAACTTCTGATCAGAAATTATTTAAATACATCTCACTCGTCCAACATATGCAGAGAGCAGGTGATCTAAGCATGCACATTCATTTATATTAGCCAACATCGCAAGCAAACAAAACAACAAGAAGTTTTAATGCATAAAATTCAGGTAAAAGAGCTTCAACTAATTGAGAAAATTTTTGAAAAGATAGCAGAAACTTGATGCTGATAACTTTTTCTGATAACATGCTTAACTAAACCTCAGAAATTAAAAAGAAATACACTGTAATGATGGGATGGAATATGGCACAACATTGCTTACCACGGAATCACCTTTTGGGAATAAGTATCAAGAAGCTTGGCAGTTAGTTCAACAGTCACCTGGTTCTCATCAAGCTGCATTGTTGTAGGGATTCAATTAGTATAATAGGTAATTAGGAAACAAAGATAATTTCATAAAGACAATTTAAGATTTAAAATATATAGGGAGGGACGAAGGGAAGAAGAACAATTTCTAAACCCTGAAATATAGTGTCAATTCCCCTAAGCTAAATGACAATGCCAGCTATATTTTATTCAGAAGTGATATAATTGTCGAAGAATATGCTATAATATCTATCACATTCAAGCAAAATTTTGATGTAATTCAACTTCTTATACTTCCACATTCCTCTGCAAGGACAACAATAACTGTAAAATTATAACAATAAATTCCTGTAAATTGGCTGGATTAAAACAAGAACACATACTAGAGCTGCAGAAATATTTGTATATATAGATTGCTCGAGGCCACAGGCAACTCTCAGCATAAAATCCTTGTTTGTCATTCCAATTTCGAAAGCTGATTGCAATTTGAGAGATATAGGTATAGCCAAATCGTAGGAAGACATCAAGGATACAATCTTTTCCACAACCACCACTTGAAAGCTGGCAACTTTTTCATGATCTGGATACTTATCAATGAAGAAACCAATCTCTACTAATGCCTTCAGCGACAATTTCCACAGGGCTATCTGATTGCCATTAGAAGCAACAATTGACACAAGCTCTAACAGAATATTGTCATACAATGCTTTGGGTACAGGGAGGAAGCTTCCTGGAAATGTGGCCAGAATTTGCAAGCCCTTAACTGCAGTTACCCACAACAATATACAAGTGAAATCAAGTTAAATTGGGTGAAATTAACTTGACATTAATAACCAAGAACATACTGTTTTTGCATGTTTTGAATTTCTAATCAGAGATTAGATAGGAATACACAAATTAAACCTAAAACTAAAATGGACAAATAAAACAAAGAACTTCTATCCCAACCATTCAGAAAAGAAAAAGGGAAAAGAATTTTCCGATCAAAAAATAAATAAATAAATAAAAAGAAAAAGAAAGGCAATAGATAGATATACAGGATAAGTATATATCATCCCATAAGGCAAATAAGTGCACAATTCAAAGAAATTGCTAACCTCCATAGAAAAGATACCCATTCTTCTCATTATCTGCAATATCTGATCTTAAGAGGGAAATGAAGACCTTCATCAGTAATTTCAAAATGCAGGTAACCATGGAATAGCATATCTGATGAGAAAATTCTGGGTGTGATGTGCAATTGTCAAGGGACACACTCAAGCATCTGCAGGCTGCAAGAAGCTCCACACAGAGATAAAGCGCACCAAAGTTGGGTTTGTCCGGACAAAATGAATTCTCATCCAGATGGTTATTCTCGAATTGCTGTGCAACTGAAAGGCCCAAACTATTCACAAGGAGTTGAAAGAAACTCTCAAAAACCTTATTGCATAGCAGAATAGAGGATTTAGCACAAGTGGACAGAATACGAGAGACTACATGTAATCTCTGTTTGTCTTGTAGAGAAATGCCACCAATGTCTTTATACTGATCTAATGAATTCATAAAAAGATCTATGTCTTTGTCACCTATAACTAAACTTATGAAATCAACACATTCCCGACTAACTTCTTGCAGCAATGCATAAGCCTGCATCATGATATCGCTGTCCTGAAAACCCATTCCGTCCGGCTCAGACTCTTGTGACAGAGTAGAATGAGGGTTAATATATGTTACATCTTTTATGGAAGACCAAATGGCTCCAGCATGTTTTGCAATCCTCTCAGATCCATATTTTGTTATGCAAAAGCTAAGATACTTCAATGACTCTGCCTACATGCACATAATAGAGACCGTCAAGTGAACAAACAAAGAAATATCAGTTGAACAAATAAAATGAGAAAGAGAATATTAGCAACAAACCTTTGCCAATGGTAGAGACGAAGATAGTTTTTCTAGGAGCAATGGAATGGAAAACGGTTCAAAAAGAGGCGTAGCAGCAAATGCCATCTGAAAGACAATTGAAAGCAAGAATCGAAAAAAATTAACAACGTGGTAGTGATAAGACCATGGGAATTAAGATGATAATTATACATAAAACTACAGCAATGAAAATACAGTAATTTCAAATAGGGCCTCAAAAACCATAGTTCCATTCTTCATTTTCCTTCTGTATAATTTGCCTTTTGGGTTAACATGTTAATCTCATAGCAGTTAAATGTTAAAATTGCTCAAACCTAGGCAGAACCAATCTCAACTTCTACACCACAATAGCATATAGTCCATATTTAGTCTTTCATTGTATCTTGAATCTTAGTATCCCCCGTTCATGCAAGAACATTCAGACAGGGACTTTTGAAATTTTAGGAATAGGTGTGTTAAGAAAAAAAAAAAAAAACTAAAGTGCTATTTTTCTTATACATCTTTAGCCTTTATTTCACTGCAACTGTGCAACATACCATTAATGCCTTTGACAGCTCCTCTCTCTTCCCACTATCTTCACCTTTTGGCTGGACAAATAAGATTGAGTTAAAGATATCTGGTTGTCACGTTACAGATATAAAATCAAGTTAAAAAGAATGCAAGACAGAACAATTAAGGAGATCTCACATGTGTAAAATGGATAGGAAAGTATTGGCCCAAAATTTCAAACAGCTCCTCAGCATAATCTGCTAAAGGACCAGAATCCCCAGGATATACTCTAGCAACAGTTTCCACAATACGAAATACTAAAAGTAAGCATCGAGGATCTCGTTCCCCATCAATGGCTTCACAGATTCCATGCACAAGGTTATCCGCCTAATATTCAAAGAATTAAGGCAACTTTATGAACTTAGTTGATAAAGCAAACATACTTGCACTGATCAACAGAAACCTTAGAAGCAAATTCTGAGGTGTAATTGTGTTAAATTTATTTTTGAAAAAGGTACATGACAATTTATCAAACTCATAGCCACCAGGCGCATGCTTTAGTGAAGAACTTGAAAAGGCATCAATGAACATAAAGTATAAGGCAGCGAAAAAAAAAATAAACTAAGGGTGTGTTCGTTTGAAAGATTTTTGCAAAATCTTAATATTCATCCCATTTTTTTCCCCCAAAAACATCAAATCAAACACCTATTATTCATTTTTTATATTATACTAAAAATCAATTTTACATTCAAAGCATCACATCAACACCTATTAATATCACATTATACAACTATTCAAATTCAAAATTTTTACTATTCAAATCCCAACTCAAAATCCAAACCCCCAAACAAACACACCCTAAGTAAATGTCTATGGCCATATCACAGCCACAAGACCATTAGGAGGGCAATTAGATGTAGTGCTAGCATATATTTTTTACGACAATGCAATAGTCGCCAACCACTAAAGATATCAAATAAAAATAATTTTGATTATTTTCCACATTTAATTATAAGTTACAAAAGTGACAATTAACAGGAATAAATTAAGGAAATTGATACTATCTCCATCCCATTTCTTTTGCTTGATTATAAATTGTTTTTAAGGGGCTAAACGAAGAAAATTTTCGTGTAACTACAGAAATGTTGCAAAAGTTTTGGGATGTCCCAAATTAGAAATAGCAAAAGATTTGGGACGGATGGAGTATTAACTTACCAAATCTTGAATTGCACCAAAGTAACGATCTAATAAGCATTCCATCAGTTGAAAGCTTAGCTGCAAAATTTTGATACATGTTAACATAATAGTCCAATATGTTTAACACAAAATAAATAAATAAATAAATCATATGGACCAAAAAATCACAGACCTTCCTATCATAGTGTCCCAAGGACTGCACCTCTAGATGTTGGAGATATGACTGAGCAACAGCCTTTGCTTCACATTCATTTACCATTCCAACAATATTTTTTCTCCTCAACAATGCCAAGCAACCAACAATTGCTCCACGCAATGCTTTCCAATCTGCCTGATACACAAACTATTATCTCCCTTTATAATGATAGAACTGAAGCTAGCTCCAGAGTGGCACTTATAAATTCATACAAAAGGTGGAGATGATTGCATGATTTTCAAAAGCACTATCTTTTAAAAACAAGAAAAATGAATGAAAACGGTAGTTCAACAAACAGCCTCAGTCAGTGCGCGATAACTAATACCATTGCTAAGTGACAACAGGGTTACAAACACTCAGGGACTTAAGCATGTAAATCTTTGTACCAAAAGCCTAGAATATGGAAGTATTAGTTCGTGATCTCAGGAAACTCCAATCCAATGAGTAGCAACAGGAAAATTGCTTTACTAATAATCCTCAAAGTCATTTACTGATTTACCTGCATAAAATAAGGAAACAAAACTATAGCAAGAGGACATCGACGGATATTGAGAGGAATTGAGTTTAACCATGGCACTCATATGCTAAAATCATGTGTTGATATATTTCAAACAATCCTCATACATATATATATATATATGATCCCCCAGTTTATTCTAACTTCACTTAATTTCTTTGCTTAGAAACTAGCATAATGTATACTAACCTTGAATACACATTGAATCAAAAACATACACTCCATGTGAATAGTCACGTGAGATGGTGAAAGAACTAGAACATGCAAAGCAAACAACAAATCAAAAGTATCAAAACTAAAAGTCAAAACATACAGAGAAAGCTAAGAACCATCTGAGACAAAATAAGTTATACATATGACGAGCTAGATGTGCTAATTAATAAGTCTTTTTCATATCCTTGTTTACTCACCAGTTTTTCTGTAAAGAATCCTATAAGACTGTGTATTGTTGTGTCACTTAAGGGCTTGGAGGTTAGCTGTGCCACGACATCAGCAAGGAAAAGAATTCCTGAATGAAAACATGCATTATGTAAGTTTAAATGAAATCTGTAAGATAACACCACAAACCTTGAAGGAAAATATTAGAAGCAAAATACAGGGTGCCATCAGATACAACAACTGTGAAGGCTTTAAACCTTACACTGCCTAATTTTTACACAAATGCGTATTGTGTTGCTAATAGTTTGTTCATCGACAACTAATTCTACCTCAATACCATACACACCAAATTCATAAGTACTATAAAATGCTTTAGTGAATAAGCCTACTAGTACTTCCAACTACATTGTCCCACCAACACAAGACTCGAAAAAAAAAAAAATTTGTAGCCAATCAATAATTGTACCGAAAAAATTACCAAGGTAGCCTACACTAACTACACTATTTTTCAATAAGCTGAAGAGAGAGAGTGTACAGAAATCCAATCCAGTAGACTTTGTACCACAGCAAAATTTTAGAAATTTCTAATTAAAATTTCTTATTTTTCAATATTGATATATGAAAATTTGTTATTAGAGACTTGTCTCTCCAATCCACCATCATATTGATGGACTTTCTTAAAGTTTATTCATACCTGATGTTTTCTTCTTGGTGAACTTTAAACAGAAAGGTTATACCAATAGAAGTGTAATATTTCAATTGCAACTCCAGAAAACACCAAACCACTGATTTACACCAATAATATCGAGCATGGATGCAATAATTGGAAGTTCACAGAATTTGCACAGTCACGTTACCTCTAGAGCGGATAATATTGTCTGTCGTGGTCAAATACAGCTCCATTTCCCTAACCTGAGCATACGGAAACAATGTAAACTTGCAACTTCATGATTTCCAAACACATATTAAAGCATATATATATTATAGACAATCGTATCCATAGATTGTTGGACAAAGAGAGGACTCACAAGTACTTCTAGAGTCAACAAATCATTCTTTAACAGAGCAGCAACCGCATCCACACTAGCAACCTGCATTTCATAAACAGCACTAAACCAGTCTTTCTAACAGCACACAACAACTTATCATATTAAATCCCTAACTGAGCAAAACACTGAAAATTGACAGTTTGGATAAAACCAACAGCCGCATCCTGCCAAAATTACTATAAAACACAATCTACTGTACTTTTAACTTAAGTCCAACATAATGGCCCTTTCTATTAGCGAAAAAAAGGCAGATACTTGCGGAAAAACAGCCTCAAAAAAATAGCATATACTGCAGCAACAACCACACCAATCTTCAGAATCATACTGCCACCAATCGAAACGAGAAGTGAACATACCTGCTGGGACGGAGTGGCGGAGGAATTGACGTGCAGCTCGACGTGCTTTATCCAATGAATTGAATCGCCCATTGCGCGAGAATCCGCAGAGTTGAGAAGACGACGAGGGTTTAAGGGTTTTCTTTCGCCGGGATGATTTATTTATAGATATTTATAAATATATTTATAAATATATTTATAAAATTGTTAAATATAATTAAAAAATTAATAATAAAAATATTTTTATTAACATCTTAAAATCCTAATAATAAAAAATATTTATATAAATTTAAGTAGATAAAGAGAGTATTTTCTTTATAAATATTACTCACATAAATATACCAAAAAAAAGACAGTATTCTCCATTATGTAAAGATGGAACCAGCCAAAATAAACTCACTAAAATATTTTAATTTATAAATATATTATCAAATGATTCTACATATATTTTACAAAAAAATTCAAATAAGAATTTATTAAATTATAGATACATTTAAAAAAAAAAAAGAAAAAAAAAAAAAGACTGGCCCGGGCCCGATTCCAAACTGAATTGGATTTTGACTAGGCCTTTTATGCCCGGTTCAAAATTGGACAGGAATGATAAAAGTATACTCATTTAAATAAAATAAAATAAAAAAAGCAAATATTGTACACCCCTAAATATCACATTCCATTTATATTCATTCAATTCCTACTCAAAATTATTATTGTTTCATAACTCAAACCATCACAGTCATATAACATCCAAATATATTCATATTTGGCAAAAAAAATACTAAGTTATAAAAGAATCACTATAAACAAACATAAGAAAGTTACTACATTTTGGCGACCGACTCGTAGCCGTGAGGTCACGAGACCCGGGTCTCTTCCCGCCGCCATCGCCGTTCTACCGTCCCTGAACGAGGCCGCTGAAGACTTGGCTGTTCCCGGCGAGAGTCGCCTCCCACTCGACCGACGACAAAAGGATCTGCGATAGAGCAATCACCACTTGCTTCATGTCGGGTCTCAAAATCGGATCGTCGTCGACGCATTGTTTCGCCAGCATAGCCACCTGTGACAAACAAAAAAAAATTAAAAAAAATCGACGAGTATATCTCCGCGCCGTCTCGTTCGAATATCGCAATCTTAGCTAACGAAGGATGATAACGTTACCTTGAAGAGACAGTCATGCGGGTATAAGTCCATTAGGTTGGGGTCGACGTGGTCTTTCAAGCTCGTCATCGTCATCGAGTCGGGCGAATTCCTCAGAGCCGCAATCATCTGAAACATCGACCATCGTCACGACACGAATACAATGTAGTTTATTTGTTTATAGAACGGTTTACGCTGTCGTTTTTCTAACGAGACTTACGATAGATGCTAACGATCGCCTCTCGGCGCTCCGCGTCATCGCTTCTTTCCCCGAAACCATCTCAAAAAGCACCACACCGAATGCGTAAACGTCGCTTTTATTCGTCGCCAATCCATCCCGTAAGTATCTAACAAACCCGGGTAGATGAAACCAGTAAAAAATCGAAATTTCGAGCGAAAAATACGAATAGAGAAGTACTTCACTTACTCGGGCGCAAGATAACCGTACGTCCCGACAACTCTCGTCACCGACTCTTCCCCGTCGTTTGTCGCCATTACGAGTTTAGCCAATCCAAAATCCGATATCTACACGCGTAAAATCGTAAGTGAATGCGATTTTGCCAGTATCCGACAACATCGATATACCTTTGCTCGGAAGCTGCCGTCGAGTAGAATATTGCTTGTTTTAACGTCTCGATGCACATAATGAGGCTTCGTGTGTTCGTGTATGTACTCTAGTCCTCGGGCAGCATCGAGCGATATTTGCATCCTCATTATCCACGAAAGAGACGTATTTCCTGTCCGAAAACGAAGTATTAAAACAAAACCCATCTCTCGTAATCGAAAAATACGGTAACGATAAGAGTTCACCTTTGCTCTGAGGATCGTGCAAGTGATTCCGAAGCGAACCCTTTTGCGCGTATTCGTATATGAGAAAGAGTTCGTCGCCGCTGGCAGCATAGCCAATTAGTTCTACCTTTGACGAGGTTCAAGAAAACGTAATAAAATCAGATTCACGATTCACGGCTCAAATCATAGTCGAACACAAAAAAGGGATCGTCGTTACCAAATTTGTGTGATGAACTTTGCACAGAACTTTCATCTCCGCCATGAACTCCTTCGTTTTCGTCGCAGTCATTTTCTTGATCGCAACTTCCTGCGATTCGTAAAAAAAAAATTAAAAATCAGACGATATTTCAGCAAAGACACCCGAAACAGAGTTGCGGTAAACGACCTGGTCGCGAAGGAGGCCGTAGTAAACCGAACCGTATGTTCCGTGCCCCAAAAGATACGAATCGGAAAACCCATCAGTCGAAGCGATAATCTCGTCGTAAGTAAAAACAACAGGCTTCTCGACGTCCAACACGTCGGTCCCTATAACTGCAGGAAAAGGAAACTGGTAAGATGAACTAATAGACGAACGCTGTTCGATAGTCCATCAACGTAAATTCAAACCTGTGGGAATGTTCATGTGTCGATTGCTCGATTCGCCCGGGTGGTTCCGATCTGCGGAGTCGCAACACGTAGACCTTCTAGAAGCACAGCAAAAGCTCGTGTTCCGGAGGATTTGGAATTTGTGCGAACTCTTACCATCGGAATCTTTCGCATCGCTCCCGAGACAACCGGACGATTTAAAGGAAACAAATAGAACGACCGTAACAATTATCAAAGCCAAACCGATTGACAGACCGCCGATGATCCACCAGTAAGGTATGTGGCGGTGACGATTCGAATTGCCGTCTGCAAATAGTACAGAAAAGTCGATACAATGGTGAGATATCGGCAATCGACGTAAAAATTAAAGGAAAGAAGAAAAAAATTCATACCGACGAAGCTATCGGCAGATGGAGCCGGAGCTGGAGTTTGAAGTGTCCCGTTCTTTACCGGATATGGCTGTCCCGGAACTGATACACGGAAATAATCGAAACATGAAAAAAACGATATGTTTCAAGACTCACTCGAAATAGCACTACACAAGAAACTCGAAATTTCATTCCCTAATATTTCAAATAATTCCGAACGAAGCCCAACATTCGAAAACAAACTGAATTCTTGCTCAAATTTCAACTTATCGAACAATGTCGAATGGTTCAAGTTCAATGCACAAATAAAATCCCGATAACTAATCCGAGCTAATTCAAATTCATTCATTTAAAATCCACCGTCAAATCAATATCAATCCAACCAAATGAGACCTCAAATAACATTCAAAAACAAGATGAATTCTTGATCAAATTCAACTTGAACAATGTCGAATGGTTCGAGTTCAGAAGCTTAGCTCATCAAACGAATTTTGATCCCATTTCTATGCACAACTAAAATCCTTAAGGTCCCGTTAACTAGTCCGAAGTAATTCAAATTCATTCACTTAAAATCGACTTTCAAATCCAAATCCGTCCAACCAAATGCAAACTCAAATCTTTCGAATATTGCCAAATGAAGCCCAACATTTGAAAAACAAGCTGAATTCTTTCTCAAATTTCAACTAATCGAACAAACTTCGATCCCATTTCACTACACAACTAAAATCCCTAAATCACAATAACTAATCAACCCAATTCAAATTCATTCATTTCAAATCCATCCAACCAATCGAACTAATAAACTACAGTCTCGATCTACCATCATCATCATCATCAAATTACACATCCAATCCACACAAAGATCAAGAACAAGAACAAGATCAAGAACCATTACCGGAATTCAAGGGCACAAAATAGAGCTCCCCGGCGGTGAAATTGTCGGGATTAAGAATCCCATTGGCACTTTCAATGTCGTCCATGCTGACCCCAAATCTGCTCGACAAACCCTCCACGCTGTCCCCATCCTCCATAACATAACTCATCAGATAATTCCACAGCCCCCTCGAGCAGCCGCAAATCAGCCTCAGCGACACCACCGCCCCCCGCCGGGCCGCCCTGGCCGTGAAGTTCGCCGGAAAATACGCCAGCCCCTTGTAAGAATCCGACACCAGATTATACAGCGACCCGTTGCTCTCCCGCACCGTGAACGTCGTGTTCGATAGATACTTGTTCAGACCAGAAGCACAGGAGCAGTTCTTTTTGACGAAAACGTAGCCCCGACCGTTGCTGCCGTCGACGGTGACGTCATCCTCCAGAACGTCGAACATGCTGAGAATCACCGGTAGGGTTTGGTCCGGCGAGGGCTTGAAGGCGAGAAATGAAGTGCATAGACGAGCTGTGTCTGTGCAGTTTTGAGGGGTTGGGAAAGACGAAATGCTCGATTTGATTAGGGTTAGGATAAGGGTGAGGATTGAAATCGAATTCGAAATTGGGGGTTTTGTGCTGCCCATTTGATTTCGCCGGGAAATTGGGATCTATGAGCTTCTCCGGTGGGGATTGAAATCGGGGATTCGATTGGAGGTGTGAAGGAAAAGGATAGAGGACAGTGAGATTACTTGCTGATGACTGCAATTGACAGTGAAAAGAAAGCGACGCCATTAAAGCAGTAAAAAGGGAAAAAAAAAAAAAAAATGATCTTTCGTGACGCAGAAGAGAGAGTTAATTAATGGAAGATAGTCATTTGACTTCACTTATTTGGAATGATTAATTAATTAATTAAAAAGGTTGGGGGCTTTTTTGACCTTTTGGTGAATTTTTCTATTTTGATTTCTTTTTTTTATTATTAGTTTCCGAATGGGGAAGGGTAGCAGAGAGTGAGGGGTTATTTATTGCTTTCTTATTTAGCCTGGCAATTAGAAATTATTTTTCGTTTGTCTGAAAAAAATGAGTAGAGGGAAATAATTGTTTAGTTGTAATAAATGTAAGAATTAATTCATTTATATAATTTTATTTTTTTTAACTTCCAAATCAATTTATTTTTATTTTTAAATATAAGTGTAATATAAAGTAAGGATAAAATGATAAATAAGTATTTTAAAAATATTAGTAATTAGGGATAGAATTTACCGATTGCTAAAAAAATGTATACTTTCGTCCGGTAAAAAGAAAAATATTTGTTTTTTTGCAGATAAATTTTTTAATATTAGTATTATATTTATTTATAATGGAAAAAATAAAAATGTCCCTATTAAATTATGTGATAAAAAAACAATAGCATTTGTGTAATATATTGGAAGTTGTAAAGATATTAATTATGTTGAGCAAATAGTATAATTATTAAATTAGAAATTAGTATTTTTTTATAGATAAAAATAAAAATTAATATTATTCTTATGAGACTAATGAAGTATATAAATTTTTTGATTAGATGAACAAAAATAGAAACATGTTATTTATAAAAGTTGACAAAGTGAGTCATTTTATTTTATTTATTTTATTTTTTTTATTTTTTTGTCATGGTTCTTTATACTAAGTATAATGTTTGGATATGAAAATTAAAAAGAAATAGTAATATTTTAATGTATAATTAGAAAGTGTGAAAAATAAAGTGAATATTATAAAAGTTATATTAAAAAATTAGTGAAAGTAGAAAATTATTGACATATTGATTATTATTAATTAAAATAAAAGTAATAAAGTTACATAATAAATCAATTATGCTTAAATTTGCTGAATGATTTTTATATTATCCGATATTATTTTTATATTTTTATGAAAGTATATTTATCAAATTAAAAAGAAAAAACTAAAATTTAATTTAAACAAGAAGTTTTTGAAATTTTATTTAAGAAAAGTTAAAAATAATAAAAACTAATATTTAATATGATAGTTGCAAACAAAATAAATAGTTGATACCGATAGTATTAGGAAAATTAAATAACGGTCAAAATCCAAAAATTGTTGTCTCTTGCGATCACATCCATAATTATAATTTTTTTAATTTTAATTATTATTTTTTTATAACATAAAAATTCACTATTTAAAAATACATACCGGTTAAACTCCCAATCAAATTTAATATCTCACATACTAAACCCGATGAAAAAATACATTAGACGAACTGTGACAGGTGACTTGAGGCGTAGGTTTACCGGTTACCTTACTTAGTTTTAATAATAATTGGTTGGCACTTACGGCACACTCAGAGATGGGTCCCATTTGGAAAAGCGACCTTGACCGTTGAAGTAGATTCAGGTAAATAAATATCGACCGTTGACTTTGACTACCGGACTAACCTAAGCAAGCCAGGGAATGACGGAATGTGGGTATTTTTTTTAAAAAAAATTTAAGTTCAGATGTTTAATAATTGTATTTAAATAAAATACTATATAATTTAATTTTTTAATATAAAAAATTATATGTTGGTAATATAAAAATAATAATAATATTTTATTAATTTATTTGAAAATTTTACTAAATTCTCAATTATTTATTTCATTAGGTATTTTTAATTTTTAAATATTTGTGTGAATGTTTATTGTCTTTTTGGAAGTTCATAAGGAGTTGTATTTTCATTTGAATTTTATTTAAAATATAATTTGCAGCTAAAACTGTTTCCTCGCAAACTATAATATAATCTTGATTTTTGCATTATGCGATGTCATTCAATTGTAGTGAATATGAAGGCGTAGTATGATATATTATGTCATTTTTATTACATAAATTTTCAAACGAAACTACATATTCGTCTCTTCGATTACTTCGAACTACCTTTATTTTAAGTCAAGTTAATTTTTCGGCCCATTTATTAGGTTTTTGAAGGTTTTTATTACTTTTCTTTTTAACTTAACAGATATAAGTAATAATATTTCGTGTAATCATCTATAAATATGATAAAATATTATTTCACTTCAAATTTGCATATATTTCAAATAACACATATGTATAAATTAATTACAATAGTTTCATATTTTTTTCGACCATCGAAAATGATAGTTTTGTCATTTTTTCCTAACACAACTTCACATTCATTTTTAATGTTTATTTTTTTACTCTAATATTTAGTAAATTGAGATTTACAAATATTCTTTTATAGAATTTAAACTAGCATTTCATAATCTATAATATCATAAATCGAAATATTTAATAAAAAAAAAAACAAGAAAGAATAAAGTAATAAATTATGTAAATTATTATATTAGGTTATGATTTTTTACAAGTTGCGTTGTCAGTATCTTTAAAGTAAAATTAATGTATATTATTAAATATTTAAATATTATATCTCAATAAAATAATTTAATATGAATATTGTTTAAAAAATTATATCAAAACAAAGAAATAAAATTAACATAAATTAATTTATAAAAAATAAGAGTTTTAAAAATAAAAAAAAAAATACTCCATTGTTTATTGAGAAAATGTATAGAAATAGGATTTAGAGTTGATTTTATAAATCAGTCATTAAATTAATTTATATTTATTGAATATATTTATCATTAATAATTTATTAAAAATAAAAATATATGTAACTATTATGACACAAATTAAAATAAATTATAGTTCTTAAATAAATTTATTTTTTTTAAATATTGAATTTATGTGGAAAAACTCATTTGATTTTAGTGGAGCAGGTTTAATTCTTTCAACAAACTTAGGTAAATTTATTTTTCTTTGAATGGCGTCACGGAGATACGGATATTATTATTAATATTATTACAAAATTTAATAGTGGGGCCATGCACATGCATGCACGCACTGGATCCAACTAGCCTCACTGACACTCGGGGCCCACAATTATTTATTATTTGATTCCTAATTTTTAATTTCATTTATTTATTTCTATTTTTTCAATGTAATAATTAATGACATTGAAAATTACAGTATATGGAGTATATAAAAACAAGAATTAAATATACATTTTTAAAAAAATAACAATAATAAATTAAACCATAAAAATAATATATTTAAATAGAACACTAGTGTTTGTTAATCTTATTTAGAATAAATTAAGAAATAAGGAGTAGTGATAAAAAAAAAATAAATTAGACGATAAATATTGGTAGCAGATTTATATCGTCCACCTTAGTAAAAAAAAAAAAAATTGTATTTAACATTAAAAATATATTTATATTTGTATAATTTTTATACAAATACCCATTCTATTAGTATTATAAGATACCAATTCAAGTATTTTTTTTCAATTTTTTATTAGTTTATATTATATTTTGATATGATAATTAATATTTAAAAATTAACACGTAAAAAGTAAATGAAACTTTAAAGTCGAACAAAAGTAATATTATTTTTTCATAATGAATTTATAAGCCTAAAAATATATTGAAAAAAAAAAGTCAACGTCAAATTTAACATAATGCACACAAAATTTATTACTAAAATGTACAGTTAATGGTACTACCTCCGTTCCACGTACCGTGTTTGCTACACTGTAGACACGGTATTTTAAGATTGGTGTAATTAATAGATAATTAAGAATGTATTAATGAAAATAATTATCCTATAATATAAATAATTATAAATTAAAATTAAAATAACTAATTAGTTTAATTAAAATTCAAAAAAAAATATATTTAAAAAATTTAAAATGAGATTAAAATGTATAATCATTTTCCAAAAAAAGAAAGTGACATTATATGTGGGACGGACAGAAACGGCAATATGGACATGGTATGATGTGAGACGGAGGGAGTACTATTTAATAAGATTAGTAATTTTATTTATATTCAAATTTTTATGAATAAATCAATTGTCAAATTAGGACATGTATTTGTTATGTAACTTCTCATGTCCACATAGAAAGTAGATAAAAAATTAGGGGTATGGGCTCTTATAAAAAAATTTAATATGACAACAAATCTTTTTCTTTAGTAATTAGAGAAAGTGAAATTGGGATTTGTGAGTTGTTGTGACAAAAGTTTTTCAATTTTATCCGTGCAATTGCAATAAATATTTTAGTGGATTATCCTTTTTTTTTTTTTTTTTTTTTTTATATCGTTGGACAAATTGGGAAATAGATGCAATTATTAGGGCATAAATAATGATATGAATATTATATTTTAATCAATGATGGTACTTAGGACACCAAATAATTTATTGGATGTTTCAATAGGACAAACATAAATAGAATCCTATTTTGTCAATAATACTTAATGATGTACTAATATATTTATAGATTAGTATGGACACAATAATGAAGTTTAATATATCCAGTACATAGTTCAATTATAATTATTTAATGAAATTATATACTCCCTCCGTTTCGTTGGAAGAGTGGTATTTGATTTTTGCACGTAAATTTTTTAATATTAGTATTATATTGGATTGTAGTAAAATAAAAAGACAAAAATACCCCTATTAGTATGGTGTAATATAAAAGTAATGACATTTGTGTAATATATTGTAAATTGAAAAGGTATTTATTATGTTAAGTAAGTAATACAATTATTAAATTAGGAAATGACAACCTTATTTTGGGACGAACGAAAATAAAAAATAGTTATTAAATTAAAAGTTTTCTTGTACGGTTATTATTATTATTATTATTTTAACATGAAAGTTATAAATTCAAACATGGTTATTTGGATGTTGATTCAGTGCTTATGTG